CCTTGAAAAAAAGCTTGCATGTGAATTTTCAGTCAAATATTTGGTCAAATACACTTAAAACAATGTCTAGAATATGAAATGTTGGTATAATGGTGCTACTTGAAGCCTGAAAACGATCTCCCATAAAAATAAAAACGAGCAGACAGCAGTAGCAGATGTCCTGACTGGGTTCTATGTTAGCATTTAGATCCCTCCAGAGTTTTGTGCACACGGTTTAGGTAAAAATTAAAAAGGTTGAGGTTTTACATTTAGTTCAGTATTACCTGTTGCCTGTGTCCTTGTCTTTTGGGAAAATACTTTACACAGGTAATGGCTCAAAAAGGATTCCTTTTTTTTTTACTGTGCTGCAATTGATTACAGGATTATTTGTGCCATTAATTAGTGTCAACTAATTTTTATTCATTGTCCACATAGGATATGCTTGTGAAGATGGAATATGGGGGAGAGCAGAAGTGCGTTGAAGTTCCACAAAGTGATGAATGAAGGACATGCATATTGTATTGAAGAAATAAGTGATGAGAATGCTGTCATTTGCATTTACCAGCTCACCTATGTCAGACCTTTTGATAAACAAAATTCTAATGAAAGTGAGAACATGTACACTGTTACATCTTTCAGAAAATGTTTTTGAAATTGTGGTGCACAGTTCACAATAGATGTTTTTCAAAAACCATTGCGTCTTTTTAGTAAATGTTTATTTCCAAAAGAAATTTCTAAAAGTGCAGAACAGTAAAATTCCCGCTTTTTAGAATTAATTAGAAGATAACTCTTACGTAGTTAAACTAAAATACTCTTTGAGAGTTAATATATAAACTCTTAACACCTAGTTAGCATTAGTAAGTGTTAAATTATTAACTCCAGACAGATTTGGTGTTTAACACTAAATCAGAGTTAACGTACCAACTCTCCAAAAAGAGTTAAATTAACACTCTCTGGTGTGGACCCATATAGACACTTTAATAGTGTTGAAATCAAATCTGACAGTGTTAATTTGGACATGCTGGATTTGCTGTGCACTTTGGGTCGATACATACTTTACGACTTGAATGTTGTGGAAGTTTGCAGTGTAGGGATAAACAGAGTTTATGGTTACTACATAAATTAGGACATAGATTTCCTGCAAAAGCCTAAATCAAGCTTTTGCATTTCACCTTCTGGCTTCGAAAATGCAACATGGCTGCATCCAGAATGTTAATGTTGAGGCTTCAAAGAACACAGTTCAAAACAAATAGATGATATCACTGTAAGTGTGTCCATCTTTTATGTACAGTTCATGAAGACTCCCTAAATATCCTCTCAAGGTGTCAAAAACTAATTTTTCTTAATGTTTCCTGAAGGTGACAGTTTATAGAACTATAAACTTTCTCTGAAGGATATTTAACTTTTAGAGACCCTTTAAGCAACATTCTCAGGAAATGTTTAGGAAATGTTCCGTGCAGGAACAAAAAAAAAGATTTTGCAAAAATACTCCTTAGAAAATGATCCTGCATTTTTAAAGGTTTGTAACTGTCATTTTCTGGGAACTTTAAGGGAACATTAACTAAAGGTCAAGGAAATGACATTTACCAGTTTCAGTTTATTTAAAAGGAAAATGTGCACATTTTGATCGAATTGATCGTTTATGTTGTAAATTGGTCGTCATGAATTTAAGAGAGGATTTACACTCGCCTGTCCAGTTGATCCAGTCAGTTTGCTGGTGTGGACAGACCACGCACTGCTTAAACTGGTTTGAATTTCTCTTGTTTGTCAAGTGTTTTAAGTGATTCTGGTGGATTAGACCTACTGAAATATATGTGAAGCTCTGTTGCCACAGACACTTTGGCATGTCAAGACTGCATTCCACTGATGTGAACCAGTTCCAGTGAGCCAGCTGGTACTGTGTGTGAAATCTTTGCACGAGGTTGGAAAAATAAATGGCAAAGTATTGCGATAACAAAAAGGACCAGGGCAGAGAGGAACTGAGGAAAACACAGGCACAGTTACATCCTGGGGCTTTGATATTTGAAGGTTTATTAGATACTCTAATCATTATGACTAGTTATAAATAGCTCTGATATGCAAGTTTCTTTTTTACCTTCGTTCTACATTATGAAGATGTTTTAATTACTACACAGACACAATAGATACTTGATTTGGAAATATTGTGCACTAAATTCTGTCCTCTCTCTTTGTTCAAACATCACTGTAATTTGCTTGACAAAAAGCAAAGCAAAAGCTAATGTAATTTGTGCAAAATAAGGATGATTAGAAGACAGGATAAAATCCTGTGCATTCTGTCTAAGTGTTGAATATGCACAGATTGCTAGTTATTGTTAAAGCTATTATGAGTACAAATACAGCTGGGCCCCACATAATTTGAAACTGGACGATATATGAGCCTCCACTCCCATTTCACTTTATCAAGGTCTGCAGACATCTTTATAGTTTTGGCAACTCAAACCAAAACTCAAGCATTTCTGTATTTTTATCATCTGCAGCCCAGCATACACCAGTGAAAAGCAGCGCCCATCTGTTGCCGGGCAATAACCAGAAAAGAAAATAGAATAAAAGCAGTAAAACTAACCAGGAGGGATTTGTGACTTAGTGACTCCTGATGCATTCATGCATGAGAAATTCTCCCTGAAAACAAAACAAAACAAAACTTTAAATTAGTATAAAGAAAAAAGTTCATTTCTAATGTCACACTTCAGCAGAGACGAGCCAGCACATATGATGAAAAGAATCCAACAAGTTATGTGTTTTATTATCGATGTGTGTCCAGTGGTAGTAATTGCCAAACACCCAATATGTATTTAATGTTGCGAAATTCACTATGAAGACCATCCAGCTTTGTGGGTACACTTTTTTGGAAGTCATTTTCACTCGAGGGTCTCAAACATGATACTTGAATAGTGCTGATCACGCTTAAAAGAATCTGCTGCGATTGCCAAATATGTTGCAAGAAATATCTGATGGCTTGAGTCCTTGTATCATGACCCACATTCAACACTTAAAGCGTGGACGTTTGTGATTTTTGACATTTTCTGCAGGAGTGTGACCCACTAAAACAACCGTCTACAGTGCACAGTGACCCAGATACAGACAGGAAATCACTTTCAGTAGAGCTCCGAGTGACTTTTCCTTCAGCAGTGGTCTTTGTAGCTCATAAAAACAGCATTATGTCAAACTAAGAACAGGTAATGTCTTCGGGCTCGAGTCCCCAGACTGTTCTTGAAAAGCAATATAAAGAGGCTTTATGCCATTCTATGAAATTCGGCATCTAAACCACTCTGGCCTTCTAAGCAAATGCCTAACCTGAGTTTCTCCTTTGACTTTACAGTGAGCTACACGATGATGCTGGTTCAGCTCAGTATATCTGATCTACAGCATCAGAATTTTAACACACTGGTTTTCCACCCTGAACTTTTCTTTGCTCATTTTGCTGTTTTCCTATTTGACATAAAAAATTATGTGTTGTTTTTCATTACTTCAAGTTATCAGTGGTATCCTCCAACCCTGTAACTTTGCCATTTTCACATAAATGTGTCCTCCTGTCCCTGACATTTATGTTTAAATCTGGGCATCTCTGTCATTGCAGCCTGGCTTATCAATAATTGTTCAGTCTAACATTTCCCGGTGACAGTAGTGTTAACTGGACCGTGTTAACAAGTCCTGCTATCTGCAAGACAAACACCACTCAATCTGTTGACCATATTCACGTTTTTGGAGCTGGGTCACTCAGCCATCAGGGCATCCAATTGGCTTCACACAATTAGCACATGTCAACAATGAAATACAGCGAGCTCGGTGGGTCCTTTCCATCCTTTCCATGGTTACAGTGTAAAGGGTATGTGAGGAAAGCTCGTCCATTCCTAAAAGCACCAAACAACACAGTTTAAAAAAGAAAAAAGAAAAATTGCTTTAACCCTCATTTCAGTCCATATGAATGTGAAGAGCATGAGCATTAAATGCTGTGTCTCCTGTTAGCGCACTACTAAGGAAAACTTTGCTTTCCCATCAGCATGCCGGTCAGCTAATCCGCTCCTGCAGCCAGGCTCGGTGGGCAATCGCCCATGATATTTGGCTGCTTGGCTGAATGGCCAAACTGAGAGAGAGTTTGTTGTTGTCATGCTGTCGAATCTCTGGTCTGTGGGTTGGACGGTGTTTCTAGGGCCCAGCTGCCACCTTCCCACTGAGGTTTTAAGCTGGTTTGAGCTGGTCCTGGCAGAAAAAATAAAACACAGTCTCCGCTGCAAACTCGACCTTTAGTTGTAATTTGCAGGTCGTGTTTGATGGAAAAATGGGACTTTGTTTTTCCCTCCAGGAGCTGGAGCTCATAAGTGAAGCTCCTGTGGAGATGCCAGGCGTTTCTGGAGGCGTACCATGGTGAGCTGTTATTGATTTTGTAGTCATGGGTCATGGCTCAGGGTACATTGAGCAATATCTGTCTTCCATTAGGAGGATTTGCACTACTTCTACACCCTTCATTGACCAATCAGGGCTTTTAGCAGCGCTCCTGTGGGCTGCACTGGGTAAACAGTACTTGTGTTTATCAGAGAAAGTTGCCCAATCATGTTGCCCAGTGGTCAGTAAGCGCGTGGACAGCTGGGAATTTTTAGCCTGAGTATGTATTAGAAATGACAAAAAAATAAAAAATCCTTTCCCCATTACTGTAAAACCTCATTTTTTCTGTGTTATCTTGTGAAGGGAGCTTATTGTGCAGTTCCTCCACAGAATCTTACTCCCACAAACCAAAAGCATGGAAGTGCCCCCCCTCTCTTTCACCCATTCCCCAACCCCACTTTAATTCCTTTGGGTCCCCTCCTCCCCTCTTGCATCCCTCCTCTAGGGACGTCAGTTTAGGGGTAAGGCAGGGGCAAATCCTATGAAGAAACACTGAGCCACAGAGGGGAGGAGTGAAAACTGCTGCTCTGTATAGTTTATGTGACAGCACAGTGAATGAGCGCTCAGTACACTGGAGAGATTTGAGGCTCCAGCGCAGATCTGTAGGTTTAGTCTCACTTTTACCTGAGCTTCACTGCAGCTTATCTCTCAAGGTTCTCAGCAGAAGCAAGGCAGAAGAAAATAACTGAGACTTCTAGCAGCTAATTTTGGTTCTGTGTCTCAGCGTGAACCCCTCAGTTTCCTACTCATCTGTTCTAAGGTAGGTCCGCATGTCTAATGAAGTAGAAACGTGTTCAAACATTTGAACGTTTTTTGTTTTTGCAAACTAACAGTTT